TGGATCCTGTGGGCACTGCCTGCATCCTGTGCCCAGAGCCTGGATCCTGTGGGCAAAGCCTGGATCCTGTGGGCAGAGCCTGGATCCTGTGGGCAGCGCCTGAATTGCCCAGGCAGCGCTTCGATTCTCCAGGTAGCGCCTGGATCATCCAGGAAACCCCCGTCTCCCTCCCAAACATACCCCGCTTTGGGAACCTGGTGATCCTGCTCTCCTGGGAATGGGCACCGCAGCCCCTCGTCACGAAGGAGCCTGGTACGTGCTGCTGTCCCCACGGGCCACTCTCCAGCACCCCTAGGACCTGTAGAACTGTGGAAAACGTTCAAAAAAAATCCAGGACCATAATTTATTGGTGTCTATTAACTGTGATAAATGCATACTCAGAAAAGAATTTCCATCTAAAATCAGAATAGAGGGCCCATTGAAAAATGCAGAGGCTCTTGCACATGAAACATGTCCAACACCAAGTTTAGGATCAAGACTTGTGATGGGAAAATATTGGGGTTATTGGGAAAATTTTTTCTTCCACCATAGTTAAGAATGCCATTGCTTGCCCCTTTATAAAGCAGAGTAAACCACAGGAGAACTCACGCAGGTCAGGAGCCAAAGGAAAAACTCCAGAGATGAGCTGTTGGAACACAATTTCCAAATGGCTGAAACGTTCACATAGCTCCAATTTCAACTGGGAAGTTACAAGAGGAAATAATGGTGAATACTCCAGTAGAAGATGGCAGGTTTAGATGGGAGATTGGGAAGGAATTGCTCCCAGTGAGGGTGTGAAGGCCCTGGCACAGGTTGCCTAGAGAAGCTGTGGCTCTCCCTGGTTCCCTGGAAGTGTCCGAGGCCAGGTTGGACGGGGCCTGGAGTCACCTGGGATAATGGAAGGCGTCCCTACCCATGGCAGAAGGTGGCACTGGATGGGCTTTAAGGTTCTTTCCAACACAAATCATTCCAGGATTCTCTGGTTGTACAAACTACTGTGAAACTTTTCACATCAGTATGGAGAAGACAAATCCATCCTGCTTACAGATCCAAAGGAAAACATTGATGTATTTATGTATGTTAGAATTTTGTCATGGCTGTGGAAGAGAAGAAGATTCCTCTAAAATGAAATATTGGCATCTAAAAATCTTTGAATATAAAGATCTAATGTACGACACCTACAAATGATGACTATGAATTTGGTTACGTGTCACAGTCTCCACTGTTAATTTAACAAATCATATTTAAATGAGCGTGAATTTACTTTACAAACTCTGACACTGAAATTTCTTGAAAGTCAGAATGGAAAATGAGTATTATTTATCTCTCCAAAAGAAGACATGTAATTATATTTTATAATTTTCAAATTATAAACAAATAAAAGTAGGAGAACCCACTGAAGAAAATTAGTAAGAACACGACAATATCACCTAAAATTAAGACATAAAGCAAAGGTCTGTTGAAATGGATATTTCCTTTAGTGCGTCACAGAGATCGGCTGTAGCTCATGTTTTTGATGCATCAGGCACAGTGGGCTAAATGTTCATGATTACAGTTTTGGGGTTTCATGGCTTCCTGTATTTTGAATGTCAGGAAGTGTCATTCTGATGGGGATGTTCAGAGCCTTTCCTCGGCAGCCAGGTCCCCAGCCAAGGTGCTGAAGAAAGATCCAGCCTTCCTCAGTGGAAGCACAGAGTTGCAACAATATCAGGGTTAATTATTTGAATTATTGGGACACTTTTTCATCAGCTTAAGTTATTAAAATGGGATGCTTTGTGCACTGAACTTTAGATGCTGGCTTTGGGCTAAGAACAGAAGCTGAGCATAGGCTAAACACACAATTTTTAAAATCTCTCAGATCATGAGGTTTTATAAGAGAAAAAGCATGAAAGGTTAAATCTAGGATTCTTTCAGAATTTTCCTCTGGAGCACAAACCTTCCAGCAGCCAAGAATCCTCCAAGTGGTAGGCCTGAGATTTCCCAGTTCTGGATTATTTTTCTCTCATACTCAAAATGTATTTGAGGGGAACCAAGGGAGTTGGAGGCGGGGAGAAAAGAGAGGGAAGAGAGGTAAATATTTTAGTTTCCTTCAAATCTGCTCCACCCCACACCCAAAATATTTCCACATGAACACAAAGGTTAGGCTAGATCATATGGCTTGGCACAAAATGACAGAGTTTTAGGATTATTCCTCAAGTTCCATGGAGAAGATATGTGCACATGTATGTGCATGTTTGAGATGCCTTCAGTGTAAAAGGAAGGCACTGAACTAGAAAGGGATTTCTCTTCCTCTGCTCCTGGATGATCTGGGGAAAGAGGTGTCCACACAGGCAAGCAAGCATGAACTGAAGTTTACTTTCAATTATACCAAAAGAAAACAGGGAAAAGCAGCTGAATTCCTAAAGGAACCATGTGAGGAAGCACTGCCTAGAAGAAAAAAAGCTTCCCTGAAAACAAACCTCAAGTTCTCTGGAGAATCCCTGTGGTGTCTGCACAGCTGTAGACAGTTTTCATCTATCAGCTTGGAAAAGACCTCTGTTTCTTACACAAAATTAGGAGATTTGGGGTTCAGTATTTAGTGTCAGCTGATGTGTTAAATGACATTTCCTCTCAGTTCCTCACTCCTTTAAGGCCTTTGCAGAATGATCAGGAATCATGGCCCTGCTCTAGGGAACAATTATGAGGCTTTCTGAGACAAAAAGGGATGGTGGTAAGAAGCAAAAGGAATACAGTCAGCCATTACTCAGTCAGACACCCCCACAGAAAGGACATTCCAGCTGGGAAGTCAGGCTCTTTAATGGTAGGAAAGTCTGGAGCTAAGGCTGGATTGGATTCAAGCAGGAAAGGTAAAAGTCAGGTGTGACAACAGCTTCCTGCTTCTCCCACTGCACAAACACCTACTGCAACCTTCTGAGAAGCAAGTGTCCTCTCCAGCCACATGAAACACTTATTTGGACTTTTCCCCCCCACTCTCGGTACACTCAGTCCAGTTTCTTGCTTTTCAAGACTTCCAGCAGAGTCCAAAATGAACAGTCACACCATTTCTCACAACTACTCTTTAACTGTCACTCCCTTCCTACTCAGGCTCAGCCTCTTGGCAAGGCTGTCCCAAAGAAAGGTGTTTAAGAACAATTCCATTTCTTCCTGACACTCAGCAAAGCACACTCACACTTCCATCTACCTGAGCTTGGCAGATGAAGGCTGACAACCTTCACCAGCACCGCTGAGCCCAGATGGCCAAAGGGATGCCCCAAGCCATGCGACACAAACAAAAGCTTGGGGAAAGGAGCATCCAAAGGCCTAAGCAAAGCCTACAGGTGCTGAGGTTCTGCTCTTCAGGAAGAGGTTCCATATTTGCCTGCTGAGGGGAAGTAATGAATTCATTCTCTTTTCTTCTTTGTCTTCCCAGCTGTAGCTTTCCCTCTTAAACTCTCATTGTGGCACTAGTCTTAACCCTAGAATTCAGAACAGTTTGGAATGGAAGGGACCTCAAAGAGAATTCAGTCCCACCCCCTGCCATGGCCAGAGACAACTTTCGCTATCCCAGGTGTTCCAAGCCCCATCCAACCTGGTCTTGGACAATTCCAGGCATCCAGGAGTGGCCACAGCTTCTCATGGGGAAGAATTTCTTCCTAATATCCTTCTTTCACCTTAAAGCCATTCCTCTTTGTATGTCACTCTAAGCCCTTGTCCAAAGTCCTTCTCCAGCTCTCCTCAAACCCCTTTAGGCTCTTGAAAGGGTTCTGAGGTTTCCCCACAACCTTCTCTTCTCCAGGTGAACACCCCCAGCTCTCCCAGCCAGGTTCCAGAGCAGAAGAGTGTCCAGAGCCTGGATCCTGTGGACGGAGCCTGGATCCTGTGGGTTCTGCCAGGATCCTGTGGGCACTGCCTGGTTCCTGTGGGCACTGCCTGGATCCTGTGGGCACTGCCTGGATCCTGTGGGCAGAGCCTGGATCCTGTGGGCACTGCCTGGATCCTGTGGGAAGTGCCTGAATTGCCCAGGCAACGCTTCGATTCTCCAGGTAGCGCCTGGATCATCCAGGAAACCCCCGTCTCCCTCCCAAACATACCCCGCTTTGGGAACCTGGTGATTTCTAAAATCTATACAATTGGTGAGAAACCTCATCAAGGCGTGTGATTGTGAAAAAATAAAATTCCTGCAGGAGGAGATGGATCACAAAAGCATCATCCACCTTCCATCAGCCTGTATCCTGTGGGCATTGCCTGTATCCCGTGGGCAGTGCCTGGATCCTGTGGGCAGCGCCTGGATACTCAGCTCCCTCCCAAATAAATCCACAATCTTCTCCTTGGGAACATGGTGCTTTCCCAAATATACAGAACCAGAAAGAAACCTCAGAAAGTTGTGTGATTGTGAAAAATTAAAACTCCTTCAGGAGATGAATCACAAAAACATCATCCACCTTCCATCAGCACAGGCCAGGGCTGACAGGATCCACAGCACCGGGGCAGCTCATGTCTGCTTCCTGAGGGAATTTTTTTCCTTCAGTTTCCTCACACATTGTGATAGATTGGCATTTAAGAAAACAAAGAGAAACACCTAAGGAAGTGAAAACTGCTGGAGGCTGATGGGAGCTTTTCTCCTAGCCGACAACTGGCCATTTCAAAGAATTGACAGCAGTTTTAACCATTGAAAAGTGAGATCAACCTGTGAACACCACCTTAAGACCTAAGCCTGGGAATTTCTTGGTCTCTTTGTTTCCTGGCAGTGAATGGTAACTGAGCTTTAGCTGGATTCCCGTTCCCTGCCCCGGCCATGCGGCTGGGCGGGGGCTGGGCTGGGCCTGCCACAGCTCCCGGCCGGGAGATGGGGCCTGCGGGGCTTGCCCCGGGCTCTGGCCGGGCCAGGCCGCTCCCTGGCTCGGCTGCAGCTTTTTTCTGTGACTGAATTCACCAGAGACTGCCGAGTAAAGAAAGAAAAAGCTCTTGACCTGCGGCAGGCTGAGACAGGGACCACACTCTCCAGAGCAGCCATGAAGAATTTNGGGGGGGGGAAGGGGGAGGCCTCCACCTGCTGCGCTGGGGGGAGAGCATACAGGCAATCCTTAAACATAGGAAAAGTTAAAGGCATAAAACACTCAGAAGGCAAACTCCTTGCCCCAAAATCCACGGGGTGGGACCATGGGGAAAACCCTCTGTTACAGCATCTCTTTTCTGACTTTCAGCTGTGGGACCACGGCGTTCTGCACAAAGCTGTATCAGCAGAGCTAGTCTATGTCTTCCGAAGTCCGGACGGGCTGGCACGGGGAGTGTGGTACATGCCAGGCGGGGAGGCCAGGCCGGCCACAGCAAGGGTGCACTGCTGTCGCTCCTGCTCCTGCTGGAAGTAGAGGTTGCGGATCCCCCGCGTGGTCTCCCAAATCAGCATTCACAGGCGGTTTAAGGGGCCGAGTTGCTCTGGCTGGAACCAAGCTATCTGGGGATCCATGGAACAGGGACCCACCCTGGCTGATCCACTCTCATGTTACCATGCCCAGATGGCCACAGCTGTAACGCTTTAAAGCCTTCTGACACAGTGAGTCCTAAGTGCTGCTTATGTCCTATTCAGAGAGAGGACGAGTTTGTTCTTCTGCAGAACTTTGGTTCCCCTTTATGGGAAAAGCTTTATCTCAACGGCCCGTGAGTTCAACACGCAAACGCAGTGGCTCATCCTGGGAATGTAAGCTCTAGCTTTGCTGAGATTTGCCGTTCCAGGCCCACTCACCAGCTGGGCCCTCTGCCCAGGGTCACTGAGATCTGTAGGTCTCCAGGAACACATGGGGAAAAGCTCCTTACCTCTCAAAGGAGGAGGGAGACTCCAATGTCCTTCAGCTCTTGGCTGCAATGCATGTCAAGGGTCTACCAGATGTCACACTATACTAGGAATGGCGAAGCAGTATGACATAGACTCTCTTCTGGGTAGCACAATTTCAGATCTTCTTTTATAGACAGGTCCAAGAAGGTCTGAGAGGTAAAACTCTCATTGGTCATCAAACCAGCACATCACTATTATTGGACAATTAGAAACTACACCCCTTGACTGTTTCTTGAAAGAAAACAAGGATCCAAACAACACCTGCAAAGGTTGTTGTCCTTCCCCAAGGACTGTTTGGATTCTCCCTTATAATTTCTCAAGCCAGAGTGAGAACTAGTGTCACATAGGCACTGTGCTCCCTGCCTGCTTTCTTGCATTCAGCATCCAGCGTACCTTTTATCCTTCTCTGGGGGACTTGTGTTTGGTACCAGGACCTCTGATCTGTATTGCTGAGATTTGGAGAAAGTGCTTTTTAATCTCCCTGCTGAGTTGCCTGACCTTTACAATTTAGCTTACCCTGCAAAATGAGAATAAAGCTATGGGTTTACATGCAGCTAAGCAAAGGTCCTAACTTTATTGCTTTACCTGTCTCTTATTTTCTCCCAGTTTCATAGTACATGAGTAAACTTGCCAGAAAGGAACAAAAATTGTTAATTTAGGTGGTTTTCAGCTTTATACACACACACACTGGAATTCTTATAAAATATAATTGTCTTAATTGTTTATCATCCCAATACATATGTTATCTTCCTAGGTAGCTCATTAAGAGGCTGCTGTAAAATGTGATGCAACAATGCTATGAAGGAAAAGAGAAAATTTCAACCTAAGTACCACTGGAGCAAGGAAAGGAAATAAGGGGTCATACTTCTGCTTTTCTGTTGAGACAGAATAGGAAAGGAAATACAGCAAGGAAGTAAAGTGCAAGATAAAGAGGTAGCAGCATACAGCACTTGGTAAAGGCTCCTGCCCCTGCCCAAGGGGACTCAGAAGCCAAGGAGATGGTTACTTCAGCAGAGGGCACTGGAGTAATAAGGATGTGGTGTGCTACTGGCTCTACCTTGCTCTGCCTAGCGTAACTACAGACTAGCTATGCTGCAAATTCTTGTACTTTCTGTTGCTTCAAAATTTTTACCCCAAAAAGAGAGGACATGTGCTGAATAACACTGCAAGGTTTGGGATTGGAGCAATGCAGGCAATGGCATGTAAGTAAAAAAGGCAAAAAGGAGGAGAATCTGGGGCACATACTCTTGAGTCAGCATTCTGCACCCCACAATACCAGTGGGACAAGGAGGATGATGAGATGGTTAAGGAAGTGAAACCTCTAATGAGAAATTGTCAAAACAAAGTTTCTTACCTTCCTTATAATTTCTCCTTTTTCCACAGCCGCTGCAGTCAGAGGGTATATTTGCATAGACCTTTGCATTCCAAGTAGCCTGAAAACACAAACGATAACTGCATTGATATGCTACAAATTTATTATGAACAGCATCAAAGAACTGAAAAAAGTTTCTAAACAAATTTGACGTTTGGTGGGTTATACAGTATTATTTATTTATGCAAACTGTGAATTTGTGAATGCCTTGGACAACAGCTTTCATGGAGGAACAATCATTTTACACATATGAACTTCACATTCCTTTAGCTCCTCTAGGCTTCTTTTGTACATGGGAAATTGAAACCTCATGTGTTATGGTGGAGATAAGCGAGCATGTCCAGAGTGTAAGGCTGTATTTTGTTATCATTGTTTTACTATTTAAAATAAGTGTATAAAATTAGCTCAAATAGTTGCATCTGTATCCCAAAGGCTTGGATGACATCCAGCATGCTCTAATAAGCATCGGATTTTTTTTCTTTCAATTATTATGTTGAATAAATACAGTCTTCTGTTTGTCAATGGAATTTTATAAAAGGAGAGGAATTCAGGTCTTGTTAACGTAATGGTCAAACATATTCAAGTACTAAAGATTTTCTTTTTTATTATCTGGTTTATGTGCATGAATCTTCATCGTGTGAAGAACATGCTTGCAGCACCTGGAGAAGTATTTAATTCTTGCCTTCCATTCTGATATCAGGTTTCAGAATGAGAATTTTTCCATTATTATCAGCTTTAAAGGTCATGTTTCTAACTAAAATAGCAAACTGAAACACTGCCAAGACATTTAGAAAATACACATTTCTTATTAGACAGCTATCCTAGTTCCAGTTTTAGAGCAGGTTTATATGGAAGGAGTAATATAAAAATTGAAAAGTGAGATGATACCATTTGACAGTTACACTGGTATGTTACGTATTTCTGTCAGTCATACAGGCTAAAAGAGGGAATAATTTTTAATGTATAATTTGAAGAACATTACTAGTGTGGCCACAAATGTCAGGTCTTAGAACTGTGCCTACACATTATCCTCTTTTGGATGAAAAATAAAGAGAGAAAGGAATTGAAAATTGAGACTATACGTGGCAGAAGAAAAACTAATTCCTCTGGGTTTTTAAAAACATAAAAGAAAGAACAATGTAAACAAGTGGAGATAAATTATAGGAGATATAATCATAAGCTGAAATTCCTCTGGGTTTTTAAAAACATAAAAGAAAGAACAATGTAAACAAGTGGAGATAAATTATAGGAGATATAATCATAAGCTGAAATTATATTTGAAAACAGTAGTCCTAAAGACAAATAATGTTTTGTGTTTCAAATTCTAAAGCAGTGTATCATGCAGAAAGAAATGCTGTGTAACTGGAGAAAGCAGACATTAAAAATAATCTAGGTTATCTAGTGGGATCAGTTCCCAACAAGAGAACAAGCTCATCTACAAATTTCTGAACTTTCAGAAAACATAATAAAGAATAAACATTAGAAAAGCCTCACTCTGATGGAAGACTAAAGTGGGAGTTTGAGAATTAAAGTGCTCATCTGTGAAGTGTTACATAATAAGAACCACAGGTCATTTCATATCTCACTTCTTTAAATTTCAATCTTTTAAACTACAACAACGTAGTACTGTGGTAACTTATGCTGTAATACTTAAAATTGTTGTTAGCATGTTCATACTGGTAATGGAATTAAATGTTGAGGGAAAACATAAACTACATAAAAAATGAAACCTTTCCACAATACAGGAACCAAAAGAGAAAATGGTAGAAGTCCCCAGACTGAATATTAAAACCCAGACTGAACAGAACATCAGAACACTGTATAATCACTTGCTAGAAACTAGGAAATAACAGGATGTCCTCAGGCCCTGACCATTTCTAGCTTCTGTGACTTTAAACCAAGGCTGCAAAGAACACCTACCATTTTGGATATTCCTAATGCTATCTTCTGCTTCTAATCAGGACACTGACAACTCCAACAAGGTTTGCATTTCTACTGTAGCATTTAAAGAGGAGTCTGCAAAAGATGGCAATTGTTGATTGAAAAGTTTCTGTGGTACAGAATATCAGAGTAGTTGGAAGTACCTTAAAGCTCATCTTATTTCAAACCCTGCCATAGGCAGGAACAACTTCCACTAGACCAGGTTGCTCCAAGCCCTGTCCAATCTGGCCTTGGACATTTCCAATTTACACTTCTTTTCTAGCTCATAGTAAAGCTCTTGCTAAGTCAAATGTGCTCTTTGTAAATGTCTTCTGTGTTCATAAGATCTCAATGCCTGTGATTGTGGATAGAAGACTCTGTTTTCAGGAATAGCTTTTCTTAATACTAATACTACTAAAATTATTTAAGCACTGATCTTTGATAAACATTAAGATTGTTTTGGTGGAAAAGCCTAAATAATAGAGATTACTTCATTAGTAAAACAGATAGAAGTAACACTTTTAGTTACTACCACCACATGTCTTGTAAAGTTAATGAAAATCTGTCCATGGTCAGTACAAGAGTCAGAAATAGGAACTGAAGAGTAACCTTGCCCTATGTAGTTTTCCTCGGTATGTAAGAATTTCCGTCTTCTGTCTGCATGCCACAACCCAGCTTCTTTTTGCTCTCTCAAGTCCCTGGCTCTGGGCATGGCAACTTCTGACTTGACAATGTCCTATTGAAATTGTATTTCCAGGTCATGCAATGCTGCACTTCAGATCTTGGACTGACAATAATACATTGGGTGCTCTTCACAGTATTACGAAGGGAAAATAGAAATGCAATGATTCTCTGAACAGAATCCTGCACAACGGCATCACAGCAGAATTGATCCCACAGAGCCTCTACCTGGATGTAGACATGAAGCAATATATGGGCAACAAAACGTGACCATTGAATACCATTTGTTTTTTAATTTAAATAAGGCTAAATTCCTTAGTATTTTACACCATATTCATGTTCTCATAAACAGGCATTAAGTGGATGTTACCTTGAAATATCTTGATGCTAAATAATTAGCTCTTGTAACAATTTAAAATTGACAGTCAGTACGTGCTTAGTAAATGCTTCAAGTCAAGTGACTGCAAGACATTCTGTAATTGCGTTTTAAAATTTCTTCAGTATCCCAGCTAATTCTGACTGCTACAGAAAAGCTTGGAGGGTCCCCAAACATCTTACGTGCGGTGCTGGTTAAAGCTAAGGATGATCTGTGTCCTGCAGCACACAAAGCTACGGGGGACCTTCTCCCAGCAGCGAGCCCACTTCTACGCCTTCACTAGGGACTGGTGGGCAAAACCCCGAATGCTTTGTCCTGCACGGCCACGTAAGAGGGAACTTAATTTGTGTTGTTTTTCCCTGAAGTAAGAAAAGTAACCGGCTCGAAGCAATAAGGTGTGATGGCATGAGGCAACCGCATGGTCCGCCAACAAAGGTTCCTGACGAAGAGAAAATGGCGGGCGGGGGCCCTTAGGAAGCTCCCAAAACGCAGAGCGCTCCCCGGGAGCCACTCCATGTGTGAAAAGCCTTGACCTCCACTCCCAAACCCACTAAGACGGGGTGGAGGGTAAAGCCCCACCTGAAAAGAGGAAGGTATCTAACATTGGAGACCGTCCCTGACGGAGCACGAGGTACACTCCCCAAGCCGGGCGATAGTTCCACCGCCCTGCCCCCACGGCCTCCAGGCCGTGACTCGGCTATTTCTCCTCGTCCCGTCCTGTCCCAGCCCGTCCTGGCTGCGGGGGAAGGCAGGCGCAGGAAGGGGCGGGTGGTGCGGTGAGAGAGGGAGGGACGTGGGCGGTGAGAGGAGCAGTCGACGCACAAGATGGCCGCTGGTGGAGTGGCAGTGGGGTGGTGGGGGGTGATGGTGGCGCTGGCCTGGGCCCCGCGAGTATTACTGGAGGAGCAGTAGCAGGGCGCTGTGGCAGCCCCGGTGTGCCGGAGCTGAGGGGGCCGATGGGCGCTGCAGGAAGCCCGGCCCGCGTGGTGAGTGCGCTGCCTCCGCCGCGGGGTGCGGGGAACAATAGGGCGGGAGAGCTCTGCCCGCCTTGCCGAGAAAGGAGGCGGAGGGGCGGGCGGTGGGACGAGATGATCTCCAGAGGTGCCTTGTAACAATTCTGTGACTTTGTGCCTCGCCAGGCCTCAGGCTCCTGCCCGGCTCGATTTCCGAACGCCTCGGGCAGGCGGGGAGGGACCGCGGGTTACTGTACCCGATGGGGGGGAGGCGGAGAGGGACTGGGTCCGGTTTGGGGGTGGGGAGAGGCGGCATCGCCTCAGGCTGCGGCGGCCAAGGGACAGGCGGCTTTTGTGTGTCCCCTCTGCCTGCTGTTGTTTTTTCCAGGGGCTCTGCCTGCCTCTGCGTGAGAAAACTCATCCCTGTGTCGCATTGAACAACAGAGACGGAGGGAAAATAATGACAGACCCCTACCCGTCCCCGGGACACCTCTCCGCCCTGGGTTGTGGCTCTTTTGTCTGTCGTGCCTGAGGGAAGAGCGAGGTGGCTGCGGCTCCCTCTGCGTGGGGACAGACGATGGTGAAACCGCACAGGATCTCCCCGACTTGCACTAGTTTTTCCACCCTGGCATTGTTTTGGCTGTTGGATTACACCCACAGAGTGGGTAGGGTTTCATGCCGGGGGTGCGGTGTTGGTATAGCTGGGATTTAATTTGCTTTGATGGTTGGGAATGTCCTGGTGTCAGGTTTTGTCCTCAAAAGCCATTGTGAGGTCTGTCTTGTTTTAAAGCAGGGAACTGATGCAGGTTTTGGGTTTTTTTCCTAGAACTGGGAATGTTTTGTTTACCTCCGCATGCCTTTTTGTCCAGAATGTATCTCTTATTTTTATAAATTTTAGTCAAGTACGAGTGACAAATCATTTGTTCCTCTAGCAGAAGCTACGGTTTTCTGTGTGCTTTTGCCATATTGAAAATGGCTAAAGTGGGGGGAAAAAATTAAAAATTTGCAAAAATAATTAAAAGGTTCAAAGTAACCTGGATTGTGGCTGAGCTGCTTTAATCATTGTAACTGGTGTACAAGTGCTGTCATTTAATGACTCTGCTGGAAGATAAATGCAGCTGTTAAATTAAGCATTTATACTCTATTCACATTATTTAGCTATAGAATTGTGAGATAACCCAGGAATACTATGAGGCAGAAGTTAATGTATTCCTAAACTTACGTTTTCTTACTTCTTTCGGGCTTATAAGGATGTTGAGGTGGTTAATTTTGTCAGCTATAAATGTCTGTATTGGTGTGTTTGAAGTCAATGAATGGGACTTCATGGCTGTATAAATAATCTGTGTTCAAGAGCACTTTGTACATTATTGCCAGTTTCTAAGCTTCACCAGGAGCACCATGGCTTTCTTCAGTGAATTAATACACGATGCTGATAATGAAATTATGGTTCCCGCTAACTTAACTAGAAGCAGACATTATCAGGCACCTTTTCCCTTCCCAGTGATAGCTTATGGCTTGGCCTTCCTGTCCTAGAAAAGGGTCTGTCAAAGTAGACAGTCTGACAAGCTGCTTGGAGGGAAATTTAGAAAGGCAAGTACCATCAGAGCAGTCTGTTTTGACAACCAGAGATTTGAGTTTGTCAATCACTTATGAGCAGTGGAAACCTTCATCGACATAAGTGTGAAGTAACTTGTATGGTTTCTGGTGTTTTGTTGTTTGTTTTTGTGAGGGTTTTTTTGTCAGCTTTGTATCCAAACTAGCTTAGATTAAAGTGAAATATTTTAGAAATTTCTGATGGATTGTTGTGTGCTGATAGTTTAAAAAAAATAACGTTCCAGTGAACAGATTAATGTTTGAATCTAGAAACTGCAGACATTAATATCACAGAGTTTAATTTAGGGGCATCTTGAGACATGTATTATTATAGAAAAGTGCTCGTGCTGAAGCAGCTGAAGAGAAATGAGCAAGAATGCTTTTGGAAACTTCTGTCATGTTGCCAATGGTTCACCAGCAATCTGGGTAGAGCCATTATCAACTTGTTGAATTAAACATGACAGAAGTTGAGATTCAATGAGTGTGTATATTAAAATAATGCTTTAATTCCTTTGTATGTGGTTCAGAAATCTTAGGTGACACTGATGCTGGCTACCTTTGATAGTGATGGCAAAAACTGACATCCCATTTAATTAGGGTCTCTATCTCTTAACAAACCAGTGCCGTAAAAGTGTGTTAGAAAATTGACCTTTCACAGTCTGTAATATGTAGTGATATGAAGGATAATTACCTTTTTTTATTATTATTTTTCTGCACCAAGAATTATAGTTTACATGCTCAGTATCTGGGAAAAGTTTAATCTATTTGAAAGAACTTGTGGAGTTCCAATGGTATGACACGTAAAGTTAAATTAGAAGGAAAGAAGTCATCTGCGTGTAGGTTCCCAAACTTCCCAAGAATCTCAGAACAGTGATGCAAAAGCCACTATAAGGTATCTTTTAAGCAGATGACCTTTATAAAACTTTGTAATTTTTTGCAAAGCCTACTCATTGTTTAAAATTTTTCTCCCCCCTGGATTCAGTGAATCATTTTGCAGATTAAAGTCTGTGTGGTTTTGTGGTTTTAGTAATCAGTAAATCAGGTAGTTGTTTGCTGGAGCATCCCAAGTAATATTGGCTGGTGGGCCAGAAAAACAAATCTGACTCAAAGTACATAAGAGATAAGCCATAGGGGAATTAGTATTTTGAAATTAATGTCTTGGAATATAGTAGGTAACAAATATGAAACCATTATCATACAGGAATAAAGATATAATATGCTCCTATTGTGAAAGATTGTTATATAAACACACTGCACCAACTGAAATTTCAGTATGACCTTCAAGATTCCACGTAGGCTTTGTTACAATAATGTAGTCTGAAGTCTAGGGAGTCTGTTGACTGAGAAGGAAAGCCACAAATGTTTACTTACATTGTATTACTTTCCTTTCTGTGCAGAGATTCCACAGTGTGCCTGGAATTATGTGCAGTTCCCATCACTGAGTCTGACCAGTTGTTTTACTGAAGAAGTGCATCTCTTGATAATTACTTTTTGCATCAGTCTCATTTTCTTCATTAACAGTATGGTTAAAGTTGAAATGGTATTGGGTTTCCAAGGGCTAACTGATTTGCTAATGAAGTTTTTTATTTGTGGAAGTGTGTTAATGGGTAAGAAGGTGCAAAAGTCCTGATGGCTTATTATAAGTAGATTTTTCTGATATAAAGATAATTTCTCTTTAGAGTTCTTAAGGAAACAGCTTTCCTGTTACTGTATGGTAGCAAGTAACCATGCTACTGATGGTTCTCCATCAGGTGGAGAAGAAAGAGATTTTGGTGATAGAAATAGCAAGAATTCAAAATCATTTGCTGTAAATGTATGATGTCCGAGGCAGTATCAGTTGTGCATTACTCTGTGTTAGAAAGTGTAGAGGATGATGCAAGTATGATGGGTGTCCCAGCCTCACATTGAGATGACTTTCTAATGGAGTGAGAAGGAAGGCAGCTGCGGGGGGTCTAAGGAAATTTTCACCAGATAGAGATGACTTATAATATGCATCATGGCATATACAAAAGGGCCTGGACATCCTATGCAGACTTTTGCATGAAAACTTCTGCCCCACGTGCTAGGTTAGCTTTTCTTACCCCAGGGAAAAAAAAAAAAAAAAAAAAAAAGTATTTCAGGAAGCCTAAACCATATGAAGAATAAGATCTCTCTTTATCACTTGATTGTACAAAGTAGGTAGAGACCCACAATGTAAGCTACCTTGTTAGAATAAAGACTTTTTTTTGGAATGTGGACAAAAATCTTCATATGAGAGAGAGATATGAGGAGGAGAGTGGAGACAAGGGAAGAGGATTGTTTTGACACATGAAAGGATTATTTTTTTCTCGTTCTGCTCATAAGAAATAGAAGATACTGCAATTGAACTGAAAAGTGTTGGAAGTATTGCTGGAGGAACAGATCTTTCACTTGCTTCACACAGATTGGGACAGAGTTGCCATGTAATTTGATACAAAGAACAGAAGAGAGTGTTTGTGTCAGGGAATACTGTGGTGAGTCTGGAATTCAATATTACAGAAGCTGGAGGATTTACTGACATTTATGCCTTCCAGCCATGGTCACTAAAACCACCATAAGGACATGTTCTTGCCTCTTGCAGAATAGACCCCTTTCACTACAAATTGGTTGCAAAACCACATTTTAAAGTATTAGTTTTCAATTACTGAACTTCCAGTGTTTGTGGTGTGCATGTTATATTGATCTGAGACAGGACTACTTCATCTATGAGACAACTGAAGAAACAAAGTGTTTGGTGTAGCTGAAAAGGCTGAAATGTGCTAGGCTGGGAAAATGAGATCTCACAGGTGTTTCCTTATTCCTTTTAGTTTGTTTTTTGTTTTAACATGGAAAGTTGGTTACATCTCTCTACTATTCCAGTTTAATAGGTGTTTTTTAAAGTGTCTAATTAAATACTCTTTCAAAGCAGGCTGTTAATCTTAAATTTAAATCTGGACATTTAAAATGTAGTTATTTTTCAGGATGGCTCTGTATTTATTAGACCCTGTCAGGATAAACTTTGAAAGTTGAGGTATGGTTGTTTTTAAACCTGTTGTTGTTAACAAAATGCTCTACTGGTTGATCAACTGGTTGATCAACAGGTTGATCAACTGATGGAGCAGGAATGCTTGTAGCCTGGATCTGAAGGTCTTCTCAGGACTTTCTCCTGAGCTAATTTTGAGCAATTACTATAGTTCAAATGGTGAGCAAGTTGAAGGATTTTCAACTACAACTTTTAACTTGCTTACAATTTAAAAAGGAAATATCTATCAGAGTAGCAAGAATCTCATCTCTTTGCTGTGCTTTGGAGGTTTTTCAGGGGCTTGCAACTAAATAATTTTGATAAATTATGTCAGTGTTGGTTCCCATCTCAAAATAAGATGCTATCTTTAGAGCAAAAGGAGTAAGATTCAGGGAAGGTATTACAAAGCGAATTAATTGAAATTCATGCCACAGAGGATGGTCTTAATTACCTGCTTGTTAATAAACCAAATTCTGTGGAATGCTCCCAGTGTTTGGTAGGATTTAACTTTGTGCTTTGTTTTTACAGTAAACATTACTCATAATGACTTAGCACTCTTCACTCTTTATAGCAATTGTGTTTGAAATAGTGACTTCTCCATTTCCTACTACAGTGACTGTAATATAAATGCCCTTTAAAAGTGACTGAAATAAAACTCACTGTTGACTAACTTTTTTTTGTAAGTCACATACTTTCAGCTTATT